TATATATGATTTATATTATAGAATCGATCGACAAAGCTATTTGGACGATTACCAATCGATCGCCCAATACTGCGGCTGTCCGAGGAGAGTGCTGCTGTTGCTGCGGTGTATAATGGCGAATTTCGCCGCCACTGCGATTTTTTTGGCACCAGACGAAATTGGGTCTTTGTAAAAATATACGCGCGAGTTGATAACGGCCACTCGAATAGCGGGCAGGTGATAAGAATTCAAAAACATAATATAATAAAGAGTCGAGATTAACCTCTGGCTGGTCCAGACGCAGAACACTCAAAACACCAATATGTTGAGAACCAACTGATTAGTGATTATTATAATAATAGTATTGTCGTATAATATCTATTATATTTATATTTCATATACAGGGCTGCTGTCGCATGAAATTTGGAACACCCTGCATACTAATAAAAGGTAATATTTGTGCGGATGTGTGTTCAACTTGAAAGTCGAAGCCAATTAAAAAAAAAAAATTTTAAAGAAGATCCACACGGCGATTTATTGGTTTATGAAAAACCAAAATATTGTTTGTTTGAGTTATTTATTACAGAAAATAAAATATTTATTATAATTTTATATTTGGTAAAAACCACCCAAATTACTGTAAAAATTTAGCAGAGTTTATAACAGTGTAAATCCACAATTCACAAGAATTATTTAATTTATAATGGGCAACTCCACACGGGATCAGTTTGTATATCGTATATAAATTACGGATGACAATCGATGAACTATATATGCACTCTTTAAACACATTTTGTCTTATCAAAGCTTAATATTATGTTCGTTTATTTACACATTTCCCATTACACCTAGGTACCAAATGTTAGGGCAGGCAAAGGAGCCCGTTCTGGACCGTCAAGCTTTTCGAACCTGCCTACCAGGTGACATTTGGAAAATAAACTATTTTTGGATTTATTAATTTTTCACTAAATAAAAAATAATGAAATAAATGGTGTTTAATAATAAGTAGCGACATTGCTGATTGGAACAACCAAGTTTATTGCAAACCATCAAGAAATACTTTAAATACAATCGATTTCAAACTTTTTATTAAGTAGCGTGAAATATTATAATTTTTTTCCTAAGTTAAATTATAATGAAACATTTTAAATAATTTATAAATTATAAAATAATAAAATAATTCTTATTTCTTTAAAATGTATGACTTTTATTATCCCTCTCTAAACAATTTTGGCTCGCAATGTCCAAACGTAAATCAGATTCTGAAATACATTATTATGGTGTGATATAGTAAAATATTACACACCAAACAGTTAGAAATTATGAACATTTAAAACGTAGCTATAATTATAATAACATGACAAGATTGAAACCAAAATCGTGCATATTTTTTAACTCACTAAGACAGTTCAAATTCAAAAACAAAAAATAAGAATATGAACGGGTACTATTTTAATATATATATACTTATAATTATTATTTTTTGACATTTTTTGAACAAAATACTCCATGTTTGTGTGTGGATATTTTTTCACTTGGATCCATGCTATTATCTACTATAGTATTATACACCACTATAGTCACTGCACCAGCTACTGCACATACTATTATTGTACTGAATAATATATACTACTAGATAAACTGATGGGGACTTCATTCAAACCGACGACGTCTATTAGCCAACCGATAAATAACATATTATATGCGACACGATAGTTGTTCGTCGAGCGTGGAATACAGAAGCCGGTTACGCCCGCCGTCAGCAGCTGTTTGATAAAAAAATTCAAATATATTATAGGCCTGAGGAGTGAAAGCCTTCAGCTCGACGAATACTATCAAATGCACCCCACCGACGTGGAGGGATACCGGGTAGACCACCGGAGTGTAGGTATCTATTTATACCTCTAGAATAACATAATTTATCTACCTGCTATAGGCATATTATCATATAGGTACAATTATTCTACCATCGATTCCGCGGTTGACCCGATTGCAAAACGACAAAATGCGATGTATTTGCGTCCGCGCGACGACAGGTGAATCGACAAAGATATGCGGCCAGGAGACTGTTATCGAGAGATGTTTGACAAGAGATTACTACGATTTAATGCCCGCTGCTTCAACCCTCGGCCAGCAGCGTGTTATGAGAGCGGATTACGCTGGCCGACTGTACAGTCGATCTTTCAGAATGGAACGACAACGACCGTGAACCGGAGATTACCGAGTACAGGTACGTAATAATTACGTACATATTATTACAATGCATTTTATACTCTTTCTAATAATTTTTATTTTTTTCTACAACACGATTAATGCATACATAATAACTAGCGTATAGGCTCGTATGTATTGAAACCGCTAATCGGAGACGCACGATGACATAAAACGATAATTAAAGTATCTGTACGTGCAGTGGCATATTTAATGCTTACCTATATGTGTATAATTCACCTACTTACTATTGTAATAAAAATATTATAATATAGGTCAATCTAGCTACCGAGTTGTTTTTAATCACGATTTAACTAAGTAGGTACACAATAACGAGGACTGTAATATATTATAATATTATGAATCATTAAATACACGACGAGATCAATTAGTTTACGGTCGTTGAAATTGTATTATAAACAACGTATATACATAATATATTATATGTACTCGGGAAAAAAAACATTATACCCATAATAATATGTGATTTATGTCCGCGTAGAAAATATTCCTTCTCTTGGATACAATTGTACATGCGTGCTCGTTACTACGATGAAGCTTACGCATTTTTCACTATTTTTCAGTGTAAAATGTCGATGATCCTCGATCCTATTCATAATAATGTATTGAAAATACGTTTCACGGGTACATGGATCGTCTACTACATGTCTATTATCATTTTATTTTATTGCTCAAATCCATCCCAAATCCAGGGATCGTCTACTATGCATGTCCATTATCATATTATTTTATTGTTCAAATCCATCCCAAATCCACCCTGATACCACCATATTATAATTTTTTTTTATTAGTTTTTTGAATTACAATCACAATGATAACTCAACAATCATTGTAGTATCACAAATAATTATTATTACGTAATTTTCAAAACTTGTTCAACCTTGGTTTTCCCATTATCACAAAAAAACAATATTTTGTCACGTAATTTGTACGATTATTGTTTGGCGGCTCTCAAAAAACGCCGTCACCCCCAGCCCCAGCACAAATCAAAATACTGTTTTGATTTTTTTCTGAGTCCAGGTTTATTCCATTGAAAAATACGATTTTACATAAGTAAAGACAATTTTGTACATATTCTTACAATTTAAGCATAACAGGTTATTTGTAACACTCATATTAAAATGTTTAGTGCTAACTTCGCAATGCACAAAAGGTAATTCAATTATATAATTATATAACAAAAGATCAACACGTGCAAACATTAAAATTTATAATTTTAACAATACAATGAAGAACATCCGTTTTCAAATACAAAAAAAAAAATGTTTGCAAGTAAGTAATCGCACTACTGTAGGTACACAGGAGTCGAGTGTGTATTGTCATTAAGTAGGTCATCGCTGTAATATACGAGTTAAATTATAATTCAATGATAAATCATTGCATACGAAAAACAATTCTGAGTAAAGAAGGTCTGTCAGCTTATATTAGGTACTATGTATATTTATTTTTATCATAAATACTTATTTATATTGCTATTATAGTAATAATGTATTTTAATATTAGTGATATGCAAGTGTAAATAGGTAATAGAAATTAGTCTAAATATTTTGAAGATGCCATTGCGTCGAGTAAAATATAATGGTATAGGTATACCTACGTAAAAATGTCAAGTATTCACAAACAAAATTTCTCTTAGGGGTGGAGCTGGAATTATGACCTTTTTTAAAGTAAGTGTAATTACCACCAAACGATGATTTTGAAAACCATCGTATAAATTACATACTTAATATTTGTGAGTACGATTTTCAAAATTCCAAATGAATGGGCTAGGAGTGATGTACATAAATCTACCACTACTGTATGAACTTAATTTCTATCTCATATCAACACTAATGGGTCTGTATATGCCAATTATTATTGGTACCTACCACAGGGTACATGACATGTGCTGTCTCGACCTTATCTCTACAAGTGGCGTGCGTCGGATTTTCTAGTACAAAATCAAAACGCAACACGTCGTGTAATAATATAATAATATTATGCTACAATATTATGTTAAAATAGTCAAAGTTGACAAGTATAAATTGTTGTCACGTAGGTATATAAGTTATATACTCGATGAACTCATACTATCTCCAATTTATCAATTATTTTGACTAGAATAATAAATGGTGTTTTTCACAACAAAATATAGTTATAAATTATAATAATAACAATAATATAGCTAGTACCTATAGTCTTCAAGCACATAATACCCGAGTTAGATAAAGTACAATAACATATTATGTGTTACTCTATGATACCTACTAGTTACTACCTATATGTACTATACCACTAATACCCGTATAATATCACGACATCGTGTACTCATGGTTACATCGCGGTAATAATATTGTATAATATTTCATTTGAAAAGTTGTTCGTTATCAATCATTTAAAATCTATAGCGATCAACATATATTGTAAACGTGTACACAGTACGCCAAACATGCATTGCAATTTATGTAATAACGTAGGTATCTATACTGTAATTATTACGTCCACCTTGAACGTTTAAATATAATATAAATAATTGTAATAGATATAATATATGAACAAAAGGTACACATGTGTCTGTTAAAATGGTGTACCTACCTACTCGCTTAAGAAAGTTCACTGCAGTGCAATTATTTATTTATATTCCTAGAGCAATAAAACCATTTTCCGTATTGTGGAAGGGGAGGGTTCTGTTATCATGTTCTAAATATTTTATACGCGCCGATGTTATTATTTATTATTACTGTGATCGTGTACGTATGCAAACATTCTTTGTGTAAAATAATAAAAATGTAAAGAAAAATAGATTTTACCTGTTTGAATATGCATTTTTGAATAATTATGTTCACATTGTTTCTTTCAACTTTGGCGCATAACGCCGGACGAATCTCATTAACCGGTTTTAACATGCTACTGCAGGTGTGGGTGCGCACAAAAAGGGTCGTTTGGTGTTGTTGTTTTTTCAGTTTTCTGTTTTTTTTTTAATATTCTTGGCTTATGTGAACGTGGAGCATTCACAGTCGCGGTTGGTTTGGCAAACGCAAGTTGCTCGTTAATGCTAAACGACCGTCAGATTTTGGCATAAACATTTTTTTTAAAGGCGTTTATAATACTGCCACGGCAGAATCCGAAACGTTTAAAATTAAATAGTATACAATAGAACACAATAAAATGGTTCGTCGACAAATGCTTTTCGTATTGTGTGTACCGAATTCCTCGTAGATTTTAAAGACGAAACGACTGACATCGAAAGTATATAAGATAATTAATAATATATTATTGTGCATAGGACTTGAGTAAATCGAATATATCACACACGGCTATAGTCACGGTCACAACACTCATAGATAAAGAGCTTCTTCACTCGGATTTTTTCGCTATCTGTTTGACGTACGTAGTATGTATAGTATAATAGTAATAATAATAATAATATATGTTATCGTTTAAAACATTAACATATAACATCATATTGTGTATAGTAATATAATGTATAATTGATAAAAATTCTAATCAAAAAGTAATTTAATATTAGAAAATGTTACGAAAGTTCGCTAAAAAGAGACATAATATTTACTATTCAGATATTAGGCAGAAAAAAGTGGACTTTAAATCGTATGTAATATAATACAGCCCTCTATAACATTTGGAAGAAATCGACAAAGTTACAACCGTAGTATTATATTATCTGTTATGTCTTCCCCTTTGTATACGACAGTAAATTCCGCCATGAAATATTTAAATAAGGGAAAATAGATCCATGTGAAAACTATTTTTTTTTTCTTACAGACCACGAAAGTATTGGTCGTTTTTACCTGCATGCACCCACAGATCCCGATCATCCGTATTCTCAATTTTTGCCGTTTTCAATTTTTTTTTTCTAAAACTATTTATAATCATATAATCTAAATTAATTGTGTACTATTTATTTTTATTAATTAATTAATAAGGGTGATATGAGCACTAAATTTTGTGATTTAAATAGGAACCTAGATTATGGAACTATGATTCATATATATATACGGCTCAATTTTGCATGCGTTTTTGTGTGTTTAAATTGATGCGTCAATAATATTGAAGGATCTATAGCCACTATTGAATTTAGTTTTTAAATGTGCCAAGTAACAATGGTAAATAGTAAAGTTATGATATGCAGTATGAACTTTAACTGTAATTGTTTCATTTATAATAACCTCTGTACAATCAAATAATCAATTTAGTAATAAGTAATAAAACGAGTATTTAGTATCTTAATTATAGCCAAAATAACATAATACTATTTTGTTTTTATATAATTTAATATCATTGATACAATAAAATTATTTGATATAAGTATCAATAACAGAAAAAAAATAGAAATTAAATTTGGCCATCATTAAAAAATTTGATAAAATATAGGTACAATATGTGATTAATGATCATATCGAAAATGTAATTGGTTAAGCATTTTATTACTGTAATAAATATTATTGATATGTAATTTGATAGTACGCAGATATTAAGGAAACGTGTGTAATGGGGAAGCAGTGGAGCATATACGTATATTATAACTATAGGTAGTATTATTTATTACGGATATTTATTATTCATACTATCGATATTTCACAAACTAAATAACCAAAAGTCAAAAGTTTCTTATTCTCTTAATTATTGATGCATCAATGAAATGGTTCACTTAAATTAATCACGAAATTGTATTTTAATTACATAGGTATCCCTAAAAATAAAGATTCATATTAAAATTTTAAAAGTTAAGCCTCAAACCTTTTTAATTGATAAAATAAATTAATGAGTTTAAAATTCTTCTATAATGTTTAGTATATAAGCTTAAAATATTCTGGAAAAATGCCCTTGCGTAGGAAGCGACCCAACCATAACCACGTGGTCGATCTCGGTTCATGATATTTTTTTATGTTCATTTTTCGGACGGACGTTAACATCTCGTTGAGAAAAAATGAATTGTTGCCGAATCATTGTGATAGCAGTGAGTTGGTTTTTCGTGTCCACTTGGCAATAAAGTTAGTAACACACGTCTGACTGAAGTTTTATAGAATCAAACGATTTTATTCATTGTTACTTGGGCTAAGATTTATTTTATTCTGCAATATAAAATAGTAAAATCTGCATTTAGTTTTGTCCAAACATGCTAAAATATGCAATACAAATAAAATAAAATTAATGTTGAAGTTACTAATAATTTCTGAACTATCATTAAGTGAAAGTCAATTATTTTCTAACTGTAAAACAGACCGAGTGGGAAAACCAAAGTAACCTTTTAGATAAGCTAAATCATTGTTGAAGTATCGGAAGTAAAAATAAAGCAATTTAAAAAGATTTTACATTTTTTTTCGTTCAGACAAAACCATTGATTTTATGGAATTGAAATTATCAGCGTAATAATATGACGCGGCATCTTACCAGGTCCCATTTAGCATATTATATATAATAGGTAGTCGAGATAGAAAGAAGCTTGGAAATAATTTTCAAAATATCATAACAAGACAATGATAAATGCCAAAAACATATTTTTATAATATTTAATTGCATTACGTTTGTAAAACTATAACACAAGACATGTATTTTTTAGCTAAAAAAATGTAATACAACATTTTTCAACAAAAATACATACCAATGCATGGTATTATGAATCCTTGCCCTAATTATTATTTTATATATATCATAACAATATTATGCAATATGCACTACATCGATAATAATCGGCGTTCGAGAATTCGTGAATAATCTGCAAAAACCTGCTACGAAGGGCAATATCGTTCCGAAAAAACATCGATCGTGTAAAACACTGGCTGTTCGCAAAACGAGTATTGTAATAAATTATTATTTTATCATCGATTTTTGTTTTCAATACGTCAATTGAAAAAATCATCGTCTAACGACCCATTGTGTTTTCGTGTGTAGGTAATAGGTATATAATATACTTCCGACGCTGTTAAGCATACATACTCACTCGTGCGATGCGGAAATTACATCAAACGCTGACTGTGTCGCACTGTCGCCGTCGGGTAAACTAAAAAAAAATGTCTCCAAAGTTGACGTCTTATTCAAGTATTTTAAGCATATATTATTTATAATGTTATGTGTTTAACGAGATAACATTTGTTTTCACGTTGTGGGCAAAACAACCATCCTTCGACACTGTACATAACAATATTTGTCTTAAACCATAATCTACAAACAGGTAGATTGAGAGGCGAACGGCGGCGTAAGAGCCAAGAGGTATTTCGCTGATATCGCTGTTTTTTTTTTTCAAATTAATTTTTCTATAAAATTACATTTATTAAACAGTCTAGAATATTCTAAGGCTGTATTGTGTTATACTCAACAGCCTACAATACACGCTTATTGTAGTGTTAAGATCTCCTCGATGTCCTGTTTCCCGTTGGACTACAATATTTTATTATGTTAAATATGCATTATATCATTACGCGACGATTTTATTATAATATTTAACAGGTGCGTTATTATAATGTTATATATAGACAATCACGCGACTAATTCGTGGCGTGACGACGAACGAATAAATATTATGTCCTACACTTTATCATCTACAGATAAATTTGAAGATTTATGTTTTAAAATTAACGGTTTAAAAATTATTTAAAAAAATAATAACGTTGAATTATGACTATATAATTATACTGGCGTCAATGTACAACCGCAGATCTCGTATTTTTGCGCTTGTCCTTTATAACTTTAAATTCCTTGATGGTTATAATGTTATTGTTGTATAAATAAGTGAATAATTAATGCAGACAAAGTCCAATATGACAGTGATTGCATAAAACTCGTTTATATTGTCGTTCAAGATTACTACCGCACGAAAATATACGATCGAACTAAGTTTATTATTATTATTATCGTGACAGTTTATTGTTTTTAGAGTTGATTATAATTATACAATAACTTGTATCTATTATAAAATATTTATTATAATTTGTAGAAACGGATTGAAAACATTTTAAACACGATTAAAAAAAAACCTATATATTATAAACTGTCTGGTGTCAGTATAATATTATAATGATTAATAATGTAGTAAAGGTATGAATAATTTACAAAATAAATTACAGTGCACGAAGAAGTATACTCTCGTAATTCGGTGTCGTATCTATGTCTTTATATTATTGTTTTATTTGCATGTCGAGTCGATCAATTGAATGACAAAACAATTATTTTTTGTTCGCAACTTAAATATTACCGAAATATATAGGTAGTGCTAATTGAGGACAACAGTATAATACATAAAGTGCAATCGAAAAAAAGTAAAAAAATGTTACGATAAAATACATTATAAAGTACATTTTTGGATACGGGGTTCAACTACCCGTGGACTTGACAATTTCAGAACGTATTTACTATTTACGTAGGCGTACAAGAATTTCGAACCAATAAAATATGCATTAAAAATAAAATTACTTTTTCTTATATTAATATTTAATAATATTATATTGGAATGGTCACTTTATCAAATCTATACAATGTGGCTGATAGAGGCAAAAACAAATTTTTCGCAAAATAACCTGATATAATATGTCATACATAGTACGGTGCTTCTAGGAATATAAAAGCATAATGATTCTGCAGCTGTGTATTGTATACGATTATTAAATATTACTATACAATAACGTTTTACCTTGTATATAATAATTGTGTTCCACGTGTGAAAAATCCAAACGCACTATGTTTTTATTCTGGGCGACTGCGTTACAACAACGTAAAAATAAACTTGAAAAAAAATATTGTTTTTAATGAAAATTCTTTTCTATTTTTTTTTTTTTTTTAGAAAAACATCGAAAACTGCAAAGAAAATTAATAAACTGAACTAGTGTTACTTACGACGTTCAAGTGACGAAAGTTAACGCGTCTGATGCACGCGCGGCGGTGACGAGGCTTGTGTCACAGCACCGCTGAACCTATTACACTGCACATAGCACACACATTGTGAGTAGCGATCGGTGTCTCGGGCCTCGGCGCCGTTGGCTGGCGCGAGCGGGATCTATGATCTCACCTATAGAATCATTCGGCCCGCGAGTCGAATATTATAAATATATATTATGTGTGTGCGTATTTTTTTTTTTACGATCAACGCGCACACATACACATATTATGCGATGACTGAGGCGAAAAAAACGCGTACGTTAAAAATAATAATAATAATGCACGACGTCTCGGCGTATGTATAGGTACCTACGATACAAGCACTCTGAAAATATGGCTTATTATTGATTTACACGCTCGTTATTGTACGTATTTATCATTCACGTATGCACACGCCGCCGACATTGTACGAGAAGAATTTTAGAATTTCCGAAAAAAATAAAACAAAAAAAAAATAAACGCCGCCGGACTCTAATCAATGAACGTATTCATAAAATATTTCGATTTTATTTGTTTCGGCAAATTCCACTAGAATATCTCTCGTGTGAATAATAATTTATTATTAATATTATAGGTACAGGTACATAGCATTATTCATTTGCAGACAAAGATGACATATTATTATTGTTATCTTAAGAGTTGTTTGCCGTCGAATCGGAATAGAATTCGAACGAGCCATTTCAATTACGTCTTGCAAATGAGCTCAACAAATATTTCGGCTCCATACAACATACATCTATAATAAGCGCCCTTGTAGTGAAAATATGTAAAAATTATTAGCGTCATTTAACGGTGTAATAACTAATAAGTACAATTGTGTAGTGCAATAGCCAATAAAGTACCTAAGTAAATTACTTTTTCTAACTTTTTCATCGCCTGTCATGTTGTGTCTTGTGTGTACAGTTTTGTTTTATTATTAATGCACACAATTTTTTGTTTAAATGGTTGTTTTCTGAAAAATGAATACCTTTTGAAAATATAATAATTTGGTGCCAATGTTTTGTTCAATCACAATTGTAGATACGCGATGTTTTGAAACGATCAACTCGAGACAAGTGAAATAAAATAGCCTAAGACTGTTATTTCATATAAAAGGAAATTCAATGTTCAGTAGTATTATGAAGTGGGTAGGTTACCTACACGAATGAGTCACAAAACGTCAAAAACTGATTTACAATATTAAATTGAAATGTATGTGTACATAAAGATAAGATGTATGTATTTGATGATTCTAAAACAAATAACTGCGTTACCACAATATATTTTTGCAGACAATAAGTTAATAATTTAAAATAGTATAATGTATCCCGTTGAAAGTAAAAACCCGATCACCTGATCGATAGCCAAACGTATTTCCTATAATATTTATTACATAACTATAATAGGGACGCGCAAACACATTTTTTTTTTTTTATTAATTCGTACTTCATACCGGCATATCGATGGATCTCATTAATAGGTAAACTTGTTCGCCGGCTGCATGTGCTGTAATATAAATTAAGCCGTTTGGTATTTACAACATACTTATGGGGTAATATAAACGCACTTGAACGTCAGTATATCACATCTATATTATTACGCAACGGAATTCCTTAAATATGCATAATTCGTACATTAAAAATACCTGAGTGCACGTTAAAATAATATTGAAAAAAAAAATAATAAGGAAAAATCTTTATCTTTTGAACGCTATAAATACCAGTTTCAGATCTAAACAGTACGCGGTGTCGTGAGAGAGAGAAAGATGAAGAGTGACTTTTAACGCAGACAGTATTTATGACATCACGCCCACGATATAGAGCTGATAACCCGCAGGCGACAAAACAAACATCGCCAGTTGTCCGCGGATGAATAACCTATAGTACCTATTTTTTTAAATTTATTTTCACGTGATAGGTAAGTGGAAATCGAGTCCGGTAATTTAATACGAATCGTGATGTAGTCTAGTTTCGTCGATCCTTCGCCATATTCGTTATATAAATCCACACCCGCGAGAAGCATCTAGATGCACATATATTGTATTATCATAATACGTATGAGAATTTAAATAAGCTTAATGCAATATTAAAGTAATAAATAATTTGGCGAAACATACGTATTATTTACCGAGACAGTTGTTGTATTGTACTAGTAATATACCTATAATACTAATGTTGCGTTGGATACAATGGAAAATAGTCTGCACCAGTTCGCTATCATTTATAATAATAATATGAAATACTATCTATTTATTATTGTTTGTCAGTAGAAAATTGTTAAGCATTTATAAAAATTGTTATGGCACCACTACGTAATACACTTATACGTACTACGTTTAATGTATCTATGCATGTGCCTATACTATATATTATGGTCTTAAATGTAGAAAAAATACGTACGAAACTACCTTTACTAGTTAAATTACCATAATAATAATATTCCTAGCCTACTGCCAGGCTATAATAGAGATTTATGGGCATTCAAATTCTTGCTAGTAAATAATATACAATTTTAAGCTACCTATTGTACAAGTGCTATATTATATATACATACATTTTTTTTTTTAAACAAAATACGTAAACTCAACACTAGCTATTATGTAACATATGTAAATAAAGTTTCCCTACAAGATATTGACAGAAAAAATAATAACGATATTTCGAATAGGTAGGTATTTTAAAAGTGATTTTCATACCTACGTAAACGATAAAAAGGCGACGATAAAAATATATGTGAATACTTATAATATACTGCAAGATTCTGAATTAATAGCAACTTCATACCCACGTTGGACGAAGTATACAGAAATTTATATTTAAGTGCAGATAGTTTTGAATACGACATTTTATTTAGCATATTTTAAAAAGTTATTTTGCACATTAAAAGAATTTATTTTCGTTTATAGATGCACCTTAAAGAATCGTTGGACATTTTACCCTTGTAATAACTAATAAGTAGAGTATAAATAATATTGTTAAAAAATGTATCCTTTAAAATTTAAAACTGTATAACCAATCTACCTTAAATATAAATTTGATTTGACGCTGACAAAAATATTTTTTCAAACTTTTTTGAGTTTATTTAGTTTTTTTATTTATGCTTTTCTAATAACAATATAACATCATTATATGGCAACCGGTTTCCAAGGAACATAAAATCCTTCTATATATTATATCCAGATATCCTATTAATGCATAGTATCCAAATAATACCTAACTCTAATTTTCAGTTCTATTAGGTTACCTATACAATACAAACTATATGATATTATGTACCTATATTCTGTTTATTTTAAATCCTTTTTGGTTATACTTTTGAAATGTTTAAAAATTAACTAAAAACGTATTTATTTAGAAAAATGAATTTGGTTCTTTCTGAGTCTTAAATTTTTAGTGGATACATATAATTACATAATATTGTGGACATGTACTCACAAGTGCTTATTTTATCGTTAATAATACTGATAATAGTATGAACATTGAACTACATTCAGCTGGCTATTGCCAATTACACGTGTTTTGACAATTAAAATTGTGAGCTGAATTTCGTCAGTTGATAAGTGTTTATAACCGTTAAAACTTAAAAGTACACAAAATTACACATTTATTATTACGCTCAACTGTAGACATATTGCGATAGACGCGCTATTCTTGTACGACGCTTTTATGAATGAATTCTGATTTCATTATGTAGGTACTCTGGTACACGTGTAATGTGTAACTATGATTTTTATGTAGCAAGCGATTTTCTTAATTTTCCATATAATTTCATAGTATATATTGATGAACTATTGTTAAGTTTTTTTTGGGGGGTTTCAGTTCATTACAAAATTGTAGAACACTATATAAAATAATTAGTTGGTTTTTGGGTAATGTTGGTTATTGAGGATGAAATATGCGGGGGGAGAGAATACTCGGTAGGTAGGAAATGTGCTAGATTCGGAAAAAAGCATTTTTAATTTGTGTATAATGTCATGAAAAAAATAAATCATTAATAAAAATAATTTAAAATTTTAAAGGGAAACTCAAGCCTCAAATTCAAATTACCAATAGTGGCTGGTTAAATAGCTCCGTCGACTTGCAGTTATTTAAATTAACAAAGGATTGTTGAGCTTAAATTAAACAATGATCAACTTATACATTGAATTATGATGATAAATAATAAAAGGTATGTATTTATATTTTTAAATATCTAATATATTTTATTTCAAAGTGTATATACTGTGTTAATAATTAAATTATAACACTGAATTTTCAATTGGCCTATTCGTATATTATTACCCATGAGATAATAAAAATATTTATATTAATTGCCATTAGAATTTAGAGCGAGACTCTAAAAAAGAAAAACCTAAAAGTGTATTTACATTTTGACACGATATTGTAGTGTCTATGAAATATTTACAATTTTTTTTTTATACTTTCCTGAAAAACTGTGAATATTTCTCTGATACCTACTACACCATTGACACCATAATTAAACTTATACCAGTTATTCACCATTGTAGCCGGTGGTTTCAGATTAGACGACACGGTTCGTGAAAACCTTATTCGGCGATCATACTGTATTGTGTACCTAAGCATACACATTATCCACAAATGAAACCCGTGGTCACGCAATGAATTATGAAATGAACAAAGCTAGTGATGATAACAGCAGGGACATTACAGTATTTCGAATGCATTTCGTGGGGACGCATTATACGCACGGCGAAAAACAGAATATATTAAACCTACCTCACCGCGACGACGGTTAAGCATTATAAATGAACCACCGCCGGGTGCAGGGATTAAAATTGCAGTTGGGAACAAAGAAGTTAAATAAAATAATAACAATAATAAATGTCATATTTTTTGCTGTTACAAAAAAATTTTGATTTAAAAAAATATATTTATATTATGCTCGTTCACCAGGTGTTCCATATAACGGCGGTGCATACAACTATATATAACTACACCTATTATAATCTGTACGGCATGTCGGCATATATTTTAGATGTTTGCTCCGAAGAAGGGAAATTTCGATCATTTTGCTTGGACGACAGTGTTATAATAATTGTATATAATATACACATTAATATTATTAATATAGTAGCGGCTTAGTGAAAGTGAATAACACACGGTCTGAAGTATACATTAGTTTGTACCTACACAGGCTATGCACTTATTGTATGCAGTATGGGGAAAAGACACTAACTCCCAAATAAACAGTTTGTGAATATAGTACGAGGATACCTAATAATAAATTATTGTGTACAAGAATAAAAATGCCGCTGGTATGATAAAAAATAATAGTATGCACAATAATTTGATGATTATTTGGCAATAGTTCGAACGAACATATTAATATCGTGGTTGAAGGTTAAAACATAACAACAACAAAAACAACATTACCTACTGTCATTCGACGATGTTAAACATATTCGATGACAAATTTACATGTATTGAGATTAAATTGACAATTATTCATCCAAAAAAACACGAGACATGTTAACCTGTCAAATCCGATTCACTAAAACATATTATTTCTCAGCAATGAATAGTAGGTATATGACTTTAAATTTGTTTAAACGTATACACCTACGACTTGTCCATGTAATTTTTAATTTGTGCAAGAATGGATGTATTTTTATATTTTCGAAGAAATCTTGTTTTTACTTTTGTCATTTAAGTAGGTGACTACAAATAGAAGTAATCATAGTTAAAAATCATAATGTTTCAATGTGTACATATTTTAAATCAGATATTCAATTATAATTGTACATACAGTTTAAAATAAATTTGTTAATCTTTAATCTTTATGTATAAATAATAAATATATTATATCTATTTTTTAATATTAGCCACGGCCCACGGCTATAAACTCGAGCTCGTGGCTATTGGAATTTCTATTACGAGCATTATTTTTTCTAAAACTTTTGGAAAGAAACATAGAAAACTGATAGATCTGTACGATGTTGGAGATTTAGGTGGTTAGACTCGCTTTGGAATTATGATGATAAAAATGTCCATTTTTTAAAATTTAAATTTCCTTGGGGTTTTCGTATTTAAGCCACCCAAGTAACTTTATAAATATACTTATAATTTGTGTATATTTAACGTTTTATATGTGTACTGTGTACACTTTAAACGTTGATCGGTTGATGGATGATAACACTATCACATTTTATGATAAGTATTATGGTTTCAGATGCTTCAGAGGTCTATATCCTTGGAGTTATCTAATTAGGATGGCAATCTAACTTCGTATAATCGTATCCTGCAGTTTGCAAACAAGTCTTTGAATTTAGCCAAATCGGACTTAATGGTAAAATGGTACTGAAGCTTCCTAAATTGATAAAGCGGGGTAACTGCGTGAGGCAGATCTATGACTTGTGAGGACGTGAGGTATATCTGTCAACAATGAATTAATGAACGATGAAATCACATACTATTATAGATTCTCGTCGTATATCGGATTATAAAGTTTATCATATTAATAGTCATTCTAAATTTTAAATTCAACCGTCCACCACGTGAACTAAATATAGGTAGGTACGTAATTTTTAACAAAATACTAATAAGTAAACTTTTGCTTTTTTTAAAAAAAAATACTTTAAAATAGTTATTGGAGTATGTTATCAATTAGCTGAAAGACACGCGTTTTCATAAATAACTGTTGCCTGTTGCCACACATTCACATGTACTTACTTTTTTTTGCATTTTTTTTCATTATCTTTAGGTACTAATCTCATCTAAACGTCGAATAGAGGCCATTGGAAACGTTAGCTTGTTAATTTATGATAGATGATTATAGGTTATAAACCTAAAATAAGAAAGTATTAGAAGTTCAATAATGAGCAAATGTCTATCTTAGAAGTTCAGAAAATAAATTACGTTAAAAGAATAAACCTCAAAAAATTGTACCTATTCATTTCATGTTTTAAATGAGCGCCCATGACGAGACTCAGAGTTCACAACTTTCGTAAGAAATTTATTTTTACTTTATTTGTATAGATAAATAAGGTAAGATATAATACTACAGTTGTTTATCTATGATGGTCGAATGATTCATCAGAAAACCATTTTTTTTAAATTTCAACATGATATCAAATTATTAATTTATCTAGAAAATGCTTATTTACACGATTGAAATTCTTTGAAAAGCACTGGAGAATTCTAAAAAAATATCTCAACTATAAACAGTTATCCCAACAGTAGATTGAAAATATACATATTTGTTTTTGAAACACCGTTTAACGAACAAAATAAATGCATAATTTTATTAAGCCCGGATTTTTATGCAGAGAATATTGTTGAATATGTTCATATTTATGCACACGAAAATTTAAAAAAAATTGTCACGTAGCATAGATTCTTACTTAGAACAATTTGTTTCTACGGCACAAGACACCACAGTTGTATATTTAAAGCAAGAAATGTTTTCAGCTAAAAACGGTAAAATGCTATAATTGTCGTTGCTTATTTCTAAGCTTAATATTCTACAATTTTTTTTCGTAATTACTAATTACAAATATCCTAGATTTTTTACGATACTTGAAATAGTTTAGCCAATTCTATGCTTATTCTTTTTTCGCTCCACTAATGTTCGACATTTTGAACCGACGGGAGAGATAACCGTCCACACTTCCATAGTATAACAGTTTCTGTGATAGTGTGATATATTGAAAATTGAATACCATTATTGTAAGTTCATTTTTTATATTAAATAGTAAATAACTTTATGTAACTCTCGAATATTTGAAATAGATCTTGCATCGTTTTAATGAAAACGTTTTCTCGTATCGACAACTTCTTTACCTACATAAAGTTTATTCAAGCTAAAAAAAATGTATTATTTACTTTGTAAATCAGAGCAACATTTAAAAAAAGAATTCGATCATTTACTGTTTATAAAAAAATGTCAAGTATAAATATAAATGTTTTATGCAATCTAGTTGTTGGTTTCAGATGTGCCAAAATATGCAAAAATATATTTACCCATTACAATATTTCACTCAACTAAGAATATCAGTAATATTAGTATTAATATTACTATTTATTTTAATATTAGTAATGGTATTTGATCCGTAAATGGTTAAATTACTTATTAATGAGTCGAATTGATAAGAATATCATTTACACACTTAAAAACAATGCTTAGAACAAAAGCCCAAACGCATAGTACTTATATATAATAATTTTAATTTAAAGTTTTGCAAAATGTTTACAGTAAAACGTGCCTATTAACTATACACAGCGGGGAGTTCCATCTGTCTTTCCCACGCTGAATCTATCTGCAAAAGTCGACTAATATACGTCCTAGTAGATACAGTCATGCGGATAATAGCTACACAGAGAGACGATTAAATATGATATCATAATAATATAATATTATGATCATGTCACATTAAATTATATTAATATTGTAGGTAGGTATACGCGCACGATTAAACAGTCGGTTGCACGGAGGAACGAGGGTAAATATATACACATAACATTTAATAATTATGTGTTTGTGGACGGTGACTTAACGGGAAATAATATAATTATAAGGTTACTTATTTGAACAGTAAACACTCATTATTAAAAAAAAAAATATTACCTACATTGAAAAAAATATATACATGAATGAGAATTTTCCAGTATATGAAAATCAATTAATTCTTTTTGTATTATTATACATTTTATGATCGTTATAATTTGTATATAAACATTTATTTTTAAAATCATACTCTGGAGTTTATATTGATGAGGATAAGTATAACCAACGATTTTTTAAGCATGGTAATACTTTTTAAGATCATGTCAATGAATCGCCCAGTATATTATAAATAATATTATAAAATGTAGAAGTAAGCAGTAAAATTAGGTCATAATAGGTGGTGTTGTATAATTACGCGAAAAACCACAATTTGTTGTCTGGGAGACAATTTGCTCATTCGCTGTTATCGACGTAGAGTGCACAACATTTTTATGATACACATTAGGTACGCTAGTACGAAGTTATAATACGATATTATTAGGTAACGGATTTCTACTCAAATAACATAATTTTTTTTTAAATTGTAATATCAGAAAAAACATAAGTAACATTTTTTTAAATTTTGAATAAAATAAATCATATTTTATCAATAAATATGTATTCCATATGTATGAGTGTGCAGTTTTTGTGTTTATTTTGGAACAAATTTTATTCAAAAATTATCCATTTAACTTGCATAGTACGTACCTAATGGTTTTTATCGCATTATCAAAAGCATACATTTACAATTTGCTAAGATTACAAACGCAAAAAAATCATTTTTAAAAGATTAAAGGTTTGAACTAATGTTTAAAGATATGTAACCAAAATTAACCTGCCATCAAAGTATTTTACCTTTAACTCAGCGGAACAGTAATTTTGTGTGATTAATAAATAATAATTTTTTTTTATTTGGATTAAAGCTTCAACTACTAAAACTTCAACTACTACTACTTTCACTAGTCTTCAATACTGTGGGGAGGAGGGGGTTTGGAAGACGTTTGTATGTGTGGCAAGGATATGTTGCTAAAAAACCCGGGTGGTCACCCATCCGAGTGCTAGCGACGACGGCCGGTACGTACGCTCAGAGCGTTACCGCAGCTTGAGTATGCGACCGCCTCACCAAGCCACAATAACTATTATTATAAAAATAAAATTTGTTTTTAAATGTATACACAGTTTACTGCCATTATTAAAATTTAAGACTGCGAATTTAATGCCCAACAAGAAATTGGAAAATATTTAACCTTTTATTATCACTAAATTTAGATCTTTAGTTGATATTTACTATTTTTTAA